GCACCAGAAGAGTTGCCGCTTTTGAAAGTGCCACTAACAGACGATGTGGCTTCCCTCTTGCTCTTTCTTGGGTTGTCACCTCGGGGGAAGCTGCGTTGTGGAAACACTCTAGCATCTTTCTGAAGAGCCTCATGCGGTGAGGAAGCATTGTTTCCTGCCAGTCGTCTTCTAAATGAGCTTACTGACAGGTCCTCCGACCCCACCGCTGCTCACCAGCCTGCTCACTCTTAGTCATAGACTCTTGTACGACTCAGTCAGAGATGCTTAGGTAGTGACGGTGACTTCCTGAACGGTGAGTCGCTGAAACCCTGAGATACTGAGTGTTTGTTGTTATAAGCTGTTACATTTGGCATAGTTTGGTATACAGTAGCTAAAAATACAGTGCTTCAATTGATTTTTGTTAATTTTGTGGCTTGTTACATGCTTTTAAAACATTTTAACCAGTACAGGTGTGTTTTTGTAGCATATTGAGATTTTGTGTGTGTGTGTGGCTTGAAATTGATCAATTAGATAATGAAATGTCAGAAATCATGTTACATTTATTTAGTATATCTTTTATGTCTGTGTTCTAAAAAGTCTGAGGAAGACTTGTTAACATTGTGATTATTAACCTGTCCTTATATTCCTTGGTTTTCATTTATATATTTCAATACAAGCAAACTTGAGTTGTATATTTATTAAAAATTATGTGTATTTTTCATATGAGATGTTTTGAGTTTTTTGCTACTTTTGTTAATGTCACATATTAAGTCTCTCAAGTAGGACTTGTCTTTTGTACTTTTAAAAAGCTTTTGTTTTAAAATTTTGTTAAAAATTTTTATATTAAAAATGACAATTTTTATATAGAACAAAAATCTTGGAAAGGCAAAATTGGATAAAACCATTAAATGCTGTGTAGTGCTTCAGGTGAATCTCATTGGCTTGTGATGTCCCTCGTAAACAGTCTCTAAGGCGACACCAGACAGGACAGACAGTCGTGAGCAGTGAGCAGTAGTCTGGGCCTCCAAAGCCAGCAGGACCTGACTGGATTCTGTAGTCTCCTGCTTTAGAAGTGGGCAGTCCTTGTTGCTGGGTGCTCAGGCACAGCAGGTACAGGGGTGTCTCCTGACACCTAGTGCGGTTCCTAAAGAATGGTGCGAAGGTAAACTGGGCATCACCAGGGACTCCACAGTGCCACCTCTGGCATCCTACACAACAGTAGTTAAATGTTCCAGAGTGCACGCATTGCAGTGCTGGGATGTGTCTCACAGGGTTAAAATCCCTGTTTTAGGGCTGTGTTAGATAACTATCTAATTCTGTGTGGGTTTTGTTCATTTGTTCTTAGGCAAGGTGTTGCTGTATAGTTCCGGCTGGCCTGTGTGCCAAGTGTAGTCGCTTCAAACAGCACTCATTATCCTTGCGTTCTGGGAGTTACATTCATGAGGTCCAGGCTGGTGACCCTCAGCCTCAGCCTCCCTCGTGCTGCGGTTACAGGCGTGCACCACACACCTGGCAGGTCTTTAATTAATTTTATCAAGTAATGTATACTCTTCAAAAATAATTTTCAGAATATTAAAAACATGGTATATACAAATGTACTCAAATTGCCAATGAGAATTCTACATAGGATAATATAAAATGGCTCAAATTTGATTAACTCAGTATTTATGATCATGGAAGAAAGGCGGTTAAGGTGAGATGGCTGGTTATCTAGCTGTTAAATAAAACTGGTAGTTATTTCTAGGTGCACAAAACTGTAACTTTTGGAGTTATTGATAGAAATAATTTGCATTCCCACTAAACAAAAATCATGTAATGTAGGTGTCTGGACTCAAATGAGTAGATGTAATGAAGTGAAGCAGAAATACATTGAAGGATCCATGGGTGGGCTTGCTAGACATGCTCCGCTGTGACGTGGGTGGAGAATGGAAGCCTCCCTTTCCAGTTGTGTAAGCTTTCCTGGTAGATACATGCTAGGCACTCTGGCTCGCAGTGACATGGTGACATTGCCAACATCGTGACAAATGTTAGGTCCCCATTTTGAATGTGCTCTTTGCATGTTGGCAAATGTACTTACTCATACAATCATCCAGTCGGGATGTGGAACCTGCCAGTCACCTGGAAGACGTGCTTCACTTAGCTCCCACGTACGTCTTCCTGCGGCTCCCCAGCCCTGCCTCGGCAGGCACTGATCCTGATCCCATCTCCTGCCTCTGTCAGTTTAACTTTTCCCTGGTTCTCACACAAATGTAACTTCATGTTACAATATGAACTTCAGGCTGCCTTTTTTCTTGCATCATATTTTGAAGACATATTTTCGTGGTTATGTGTGTTAGTAGTAGTAGCTCATTTTTTGTATCTGTTTACTTGTGGATAGTATGACAGTACTGAGTTTTTAAGTGCCTGATATATTTCTCTGTTTATTTGGGTCTTGCTTTTTCAGCAGTACTTTATAGTTTTCAGTGTGGAGCTTTTAAGTACTTTTTAGTTGTTCCTAAGGAATTCATTGGTTTTGATATTATTTTTTTTTTTTTTTTGTCTTTTTCCTTTTTATCGGTACCGGGGATTGAACTCACGACTGCCTGCTTGCAAGGCAGGCGCTTATGCCGCTGAGCTAAATCTCCAGCCCCTGGTTTTGATATTATTATAAATAGAATTAAGGTTTTTAAATAATATTTTGCTATTATGACAGCTAATTTGCATATGTTGAAATTGTAGACTTGTAACCTTGCTAGTTTAGTTTCATTGTTCATTTTGGTGGAATTTCCTGTCAGTGAGTATAGTAGTGTAAATTCGTACTTGTGAATAAAGGCACAACTTTATTTCCTTTTTTGTACTGGCTAGAACCCAGTACAGTGCTGAATACAATCAGTAAGAGTACGTATCTCTGCTGTGTTCCCACTATTTAACTAGGAAGTGTTTTTTATTTCACCAATAATTATGATACTGGCTTTAGATTGTTTTAGGCATTTAAGCTTCTGTCTGTTTTTAGTATGCTGAGAGTTATTATGATCGCTGTTTTAATAATGTACTATTGCTAATTTTTCACATGCTGATATTATGATTTTCTTCATTATTCTGTAAATATGGTACGTTACATTATTTTCATGTATTTAAGCTAGTATATATTCTTAAGAAAAACTTGTTTGGTTGTGATACATTGCTATTTGTATGTGTTGCTGAATTAGATTTGATCATATTATATATTGTATAGTGTTGTGTTTTTGTCTTCAGGAACTATAGTAATGCAAGTGCTGGTCAGGTTTTCATAAATGTTATGCTGACCTCATGAAATACGTTATGAAGTGTATCACTTTCTCTTACTGTTACTTCTTTTTTTGCATGTTTGAAAAAGTTTACCTGCAAAGCCCAAGTCTGGACTTTCATTTGTTGGAAGGTTTTGAATAACAGCTTTATGAAATAACATAATCCCAATGTTATATGTATTTCTATATTATTCTTAGTAGATTTTCATGTTCAAGCAGTGTATTCACTTCACCTATTTCTTTCAGATTAATAGTAGTTTTCTCTCTAACTTTAGTAATTTGAATCCTTTTTCCTTCTTTTGGACAGTCTGTTTTAAAGTATGCCAATCTTTTTGATCTTTCCCAAAAAACATTTGGTTTTGCTGACCCTTCTGTATTGTTTTTCCATTTCTATTTTAGTGCTTTCTACTCTGCTTTTTAATTCCTTCCTACTGCTTGCTTGCTTTGGGTTTATTCTTTTTTTTTCTAATTATTAAGCTCTATAGTTAGATTATTGGTTTGAAATAGGCATTTAAATGTATAACTTTTTCTCTGAACTGTACTTTCATTGCATTCCTCAAAATTTTCTTACTTTTTGAGACTTCTTTGACCCACTTTCTATTTAGAAATATGTTGTTTAATCTTATGATATTTGGAGAATCTTTCTGCTATTGTTTCTGGTTGAATTAGTTTGTTTTCTGAGAACATGCTTTGTAAAACTTCTGTTCATTTAAAATAAGACCATGCCCCAAATGTCATTAGTAAATGTTCTTTGGGAGTTTGGCAAAATTGTGCTGGTGATGTTTGTGTATTTTCTCTATTGGTTCAATAACTGGAACTTTTATATAATGGGAATCTTACAACGAAAATATATTTACAGCTAAAAATAAATAGTTTTCAGTGAATATGCAGCACAGTGATTATGTTCAAATTAAAATCCATAACGCTCCAAGTTACTGTGACAGAGAAGATAGAATAGCCAACGTTTAGGCTTCTGTGGACATTCCTTACACAGTACAAGCTGTCAGCTTTAGAAAAGGATTCATTGTCAACACTGTGCTACTGATACCCTCTCTTTCTTCTCCATTCCTGACTTACTGTACAAATGATGGTGCCTGATTTCAAGGAAATGTAAGGATGCTCCTTCACAAAAATACTAAAAATGATAATTTTTGTTTATTATGACAGGATAATGCATTACTTTATTACAGTACTTTAATTTGGCTATAAATGGTTGATAGACCAATATCTTTAAAGTGAAGCATAGTGGCCAGTTTAGCTTTATCCTGAATGGATGGAATAAGTGTAATGAATTTAGTTTGTGTTTCGCTTTTGTGTCTCAGATGTAGGTGTGATCTAGTCTTATCTATGAAAGAAGAATGGTAAAATCAGAAGACTTACTATTTTGTTTTCCAGTTTACTACTAATTGCTAATGTTCTGACCTTGTGATCTTTATTTCTTCTATTTTTTCTGTTTTCTCTGTTTCTCTTTTTCTGGCCATTTTTACCTTTGGCTTTATGAGCTTTGGATCCTTCGGGGATAAATTGGAAGAGTTTCTGTGGTTCCTTTTATGGAAGTAGCCCGGGAGTTGAATTGGGTTTGGAGTAGTTTCTTTGTTTTTAATATTATTGTGGCTTTGTGTTACTCCCAACTTGATCTTAGCCATGGGTTCCTCTAGTGAGTTACCGGCATTTTGGCTGCCTAACCAACTGGTCTTTCCCTTGCTTGTTAAGAGTAAGCATCATTAATGACCTTACTTTGTTTTTATATTTCAGCCTGAAAGAATAGACCCTAGTGCATCTCGACAAGGATATGATGTCCGCTCTGATGTCTGGAGTTTGGGGATCACATTGGTATGTTTATATTCACTCGGCCTTGTCACGGTAGTAGTACAGTGTAATAGCAAGAAATTTAGAAGTGAAATGCTCTGAGAAAGAATAATGAAAAAGCTACTGATTTGCAATACAAAGTACAAATAAACTTTTCCTTGTTTATGAGCTATATTGAAATTTTTATCAAGTCTTTCTTACAGTTTGGGAGGCTGGGAAGTCCAGGTCCAAGGCACGGATAGCTTTACTCTCTAGTGAGCCACTTCCTAGTTTATAGATGATGGTCTTGTTATTCTCAAGTAAGGGGCCTGTCGGGTCTTCTTGGAAGGGCACTAACGCCATTCACAAGGGCTCTGTCTTCATGACCTACTCACCTCCCCTAAACCTCATTTCCTGATACCATCAAAATACAAATTTTAAGGACACACACAATCTTTAGCAATGTCTTTATGAGTTTGTTTCTTTTTTCCAATTTTTATTTTCTTGTGCTTGCTGTTCTATTAGACTTTACTGAGATTTTTGTGATTTGGGGTAGATTTTTTTTTTTCCATCCTGGGGATTGAACTCATGACCTCATGCTTTCCAGGCAAGTGCTTGAGCCACTGAGCTAAATTTCTGGCCCCTTGGATAGATTCTTTAGTGTCCTCTACATTGAATGTGAGTTTTCTGCCTCAGATAGGACTATCCCGTGAGGTTGGATGACTAAACCTTTTCCTTCCGTTTCCTCATACTTTTTATTTGAGCCTAAGATCCCACAGTTCGGTGATACACAGGTTCAAAACAATGAGCTTTTTTGGTAGCTTATTAGAGACTCTCCGCGCATAGACATGTGGTTTTAGAATTTTGCCGTGACCAGAGTCATATATCTTTGTTATTTATTCTTTGTGAGTAAATTTGCCAATCTAATAGATTTTCCATATACAGCTTAAAGCTAGCAGTTCCTTTCTGCTGAGAACTCTGTTTTTCCTTGTGGCCAAATACTGTGTATGAGGTCAGCTAACTAAAGAAGAAGGATCCTGCAGCTGGTCTGGAAACAGAGGCAAGATCTAAAGCTGCTAGCAGGGTGTGTTGTAAGTGTCTGTTATGTGTACTTACAATTATAACAGATTCTTACAACTCGGAAGTATTTGTCTGGGACTTAGATAATTATGTTTTAAAAGCAAGTATTTTAGACAAAAACGAAATTTTGCTGTGTGAAAAATTTTTGTTGCTCCTCACCCCCAGTCATTCTGGAAGTGTAACCCAAGGCCTCGTGTACACTAGGGAAGTGCTGTACCTCTGAGCTACACCCTCAGACTTGTGAAATGTTTTAGTGTAGATATTTTTTAGATAAATCTTGCTCTGCTGCCCAGGCTGGGCTCAAATTTGGCTATCCTGCAGCCTTAGCCTTCTGAGTAGTTGCGATTATAGGAATGTGCCATCATACCTACCTGTTAATGTAGAAATTTTTAAAAGCAAGTTCCTTATAGTACCTTTAGTTAAACTTTATTGTTTAAAAGCAAGTTACTTAGTACTTAAACAATTGTTAATAATTTATTTTCCATAGGAATAATCTTGAAAAATTATGAAATGAATTTTTAAGATCCTAATTCCTTCACTGTATGATGTGCAACCTATTTTTCCTTTCTCATTAAATTCTGTTTGTTTTAATCTTTAAAATGATAAAACAAAATAACACTAATCAAAACAAACTAGTATAAGAGATACAGGACTTCAAAACATTATGAAATCAACAATGTTACTATAATGTCTTCAAAATAGCTGTAAATAACTTGGGACATAGTAGAAATCAAACAGAACATTGTTGTCCCTCCCCCCAGTCCGTGACCGCGAGAGGCTGGGGTCTGGCTGTTCCTAGTCCAGTGCCAACTCTGTTCTTAAGAGTGGATTCAATGAAGTTACTTCTCATGCTGTGGCCAACCAATACAATTCGGTCTTTTAAAACAGCTGTAATTTTAAGAAAAAGAAACTGTAGCCAGAAGGATGCATCTCTGTGTGTGTTCATTCCCAGCTCTTGCTTTCCTGCACGTGTGTGTAAGTGGGGACGGTACCCACTGATAGCTGTTCTTTCGGGAAGGACCCCGAATCATGCTTTGAGATAGTCCCCACCAGTCATATATCATTTCCTCTAGTGAGTTGGGAACCTCATCCTTTATGTGTGTAAATAGAGGCAGCAGTGAACTGGAAGGTGATCTTTTGAGGAAACGGAACCAGTTTTCTGACACAGTACCCCTCCCTGATAGGTTGTCTTCCTTTGTGTTAGGGTTGGAACCCCATCCTCACGATCAGTCCACCAAAGCTACCAAATGAGACACATTAGTCTGTGAGGCACATTTAGATATATTTCTCAAAAACACAATTCTTAGTTTTCATTATTTTCAAAACAATGGGGAAAAATGACAATAATATTTTCGACCCTTGCTGAATTGGGACATACGTTTAAGTCTGCAGATCTGTTTTGAAATCATTTAGTGATACCGTCCTGAGCCCTTTAGGGTTTGACCATGACTTGATTGTTTCAGTAGTAGTTAAATCTGGTTGTGGTTAAGCTGTCGTAACTGTAGAGTAGCTGAAGAACAGGATTTGCGGTTGGGCTCAGGGGGCTCAAAGGTTTGTTGAGCATTCTTTTACTTTACAGATGAGTTTGACCTCTGTTCTGGACCAAAGCCTTCCATTCAGGCTACTATAAATTGTGGAATGTCTATACTAAAATAGTCTAAACTAAACCTTCCAGAATTTCTTACACAAGAGTCAGAACTAGAGGTTGCCTGGGAGCACGCATTGATTGTGAGGCACAGTTGAGGCTTTGGTCAAGCCCTTGGATTGAGTTGATGCATAGTTCTCTGCATTACAAGATTCTCCCTCAGCATGTGAGCCCTGAATAGAGTGTTGCTTGAAGTTTACCTTGTTAGCGTGGTGATTCTGATTGGTGATGGTAATGCCTAGTGTATTTTGCTTTTTCTTTGTTCTCTTTAGTATGAGTTAGCCACAGGCCGATTTCCGTATCCAAAATGGAATAGTGTATTTGATCAACTAACACAAGTGGTGAAAGGAGATCCTCCACAGCTGAGTAATTCTGAGGAAAGAGAATTCTCCCCAAGTTTCATCAACTTTGTCAACTTGTGGTGAGTATCTGATTTGTGAATGCTGAAATACTTGTGGTGGAGACTAGGAGGCTACTTAATCTTAGCAGCACTGATAATGTATACAGGGGAAGGGAGCCTTTGTCACGTGTCCTGCCATCCACGCTAGCAAGCGTGATAACTGCAGCTGTACAGAAAGCTCCAGTTGGTCTGGAGAGGCATCACCCTCTCGTTCTGCTGCTCAGGTGTTTGTGAAGAGCAGCCGTGGGTGGTGCAGAAGCTGCTGCCTCCAGACTTGCAGTTCTTTGTACAAGACATAGCAGGGTAAACCTCTAGGTGAGACTGATCATCTTAATTCTGATGTGATTCTCACAGTGCCATTTTACCAGAATCACCGGAAGCCTTTACTAAGTTAAGAGCTTGCTCCGTCAGTCGTTCAGGAGTGAATCTCCACTGTTACAGGACATAGAACGTGGTCCGGGTGCATGTGGGAGGGTCAGGCCCAAAGCTTAATGGGAAGCTCTTTGAAACTTCGTTCCAAACATGGTGTGGACTTCACACCTGTTGCTTTGTCTGCTTTTTAAACAGTTCTTCTTCCTTATGTTTACAAGTGTGTAAGTGGTACCTTAGAATAACTGCACACAGGCAGGTGAGACAGTAATATCATCATGGTTTGCACTCAGCTTATTTTATTACCTTTTCAATGCAGTGCTGGAAAGGAAACCTAGCACCTTGTACGTGCTCAGCAAGTGCTTTTCCACTGAGCTTTACCCACCTTTGCTCTAAATAGACCCTTTTTATTTAGAAGCTCATGTTTTATGTAGCATCTTTATCATTTGAGTGCTTTTGACCATTATTCATTTTACTTAACAATTTAAAGATACATTTTGAACAAAAATCTAGGCCATTTAGTATATTTTATTATTCTTAAAAAATATTTTATGTCTCATACTTTCTGCCAGGAATGCTTTTTCTGCTCTTTGTCTTGTTTTATAAGATTTTATGTTTCAGGATCTAATGTTGTCTTTTTGAAAAATTAAAAGCATTTGCTTGGACTAGATTTTGGGATCCTGTCATCTTCCCTAACCGAATTCTCCTTTTGTGCTGGTGTTTCAGAGGACAAAGAAATACTTCCAGGTTTTCTAGGTAGAAGGTCATAAGGATGGCTCCTACTGGCTATTTCCTTTTTAAAAACATTCTTTTATGTGTTTTTACTAATTTACACATGATATTAGTTTGTATTCATTCTGTTTTTTCCATTTTTTGAAGTATTTGCTTGAAAGGATCTTAATAAGTCATAGAATATAGCATCTAACATGATTACCTGTGAAAGCACCAGTGGTTTCTTTTTAATTACTAGATTTCTTCATTGAATTTGTTTTATGTAAGTATAGTACTACGTTTTTTGTGTGTTTTTGGTGCCGTTATAGATAACTATTTTGAATATCAGTATGCCATAACCTTCCCTGGATGTGTTTGTAGTTCATCGCATTTCAGATCATATTAAGGTCCATAGTTGAAGAAAGTCTGATTCTATGTTGTGCTGATGTTAACGCCCCACATTTATGCACCCTTGTCACTATCCTTAAACATCATATCTCATCTCTTGGGCAATTTAGATTTCTCATTGATCCTCATGATTCAGTGTTGCCTTATTCTAAACTCTTTATTTTTTATTCTTATTTATTTTGCTTTGATTTTTAAAAAATACTTGAAGTTACAGGAGCATAGACTCAGTATAGCCCGTGATCCCCATTGCAAATCCCAAGACTATCCCAATAAAATCATGGACATCAGTACACTAAAAGACACATGTAAGAATGTACAGAAAAGCACTGTTGTCAAATTGTAACATACAGTTACAGAACTCTGAGTAATACAGCAGATAAATAATGTGTTACTTCTGCTGTGGTACCTAATACCAGAAAAGACTGCCCTTCGCTTACCCTCAGCATGGGAAAATGTCACAAATGGTGCTGACGGATAAAAGACAGACTGATGCGCTTCTATTTATATGAAAGTTAAAAGCAGATAGAGTATTTGGTAATGGGAGTCAGAATACTGTCTTTTATTTATTTATCTTTATTCTACATTTAGATATTATGTTCTTGATTATATTTTGCTTCAGTCAAAAGTTTGTTTAAAGAAAAAACTCCTCAAAGATGAGGCTCACACGAATATCTTAGCTCACAGTTTAAACCCTTCTCCACAGTAACTGCTGTTTTGCAGTCATCCATCACATTTTGTAGGGGGTGATGGACTCTTAAGTCTTTTTCCTGGAAAAGAACCTAAAATATTATACTTGAGGAAGTTTTGTGAACCCATGTAGATAAGATTGAATTCAGGGATGAATTGGCTGTTGCAGAATTTGTCACCTGTAAAAATGTAATACTTGTAGAGAACACCTTAACTTGGGACAGAACTTGAAGAAAAGGCATCTTGTGGAACAGACAGTGATGTAGGAAATCGCAACCTGAAATATGTGGTAAGGAAATATTTGTTAGATCCTGCGCACAGCTGGGTTTCCATGGCAGCATAGATTATCTCTAATCTGCAGTGCTTGGGACCAGAAATGTTTCAGATTTTCAGTTTTTTCAGATCTTGGAATATCTGCATATGTACACTGAGACTTTTTCAGACTGAAGTCTGATCAGGGAACTCAGTTATGTTTCTATATGCCTTGTGCACATTACTTCAGGGTAATTTTATACAGTATAGTTAGTAATTTTATGCATAAAGTAGCATTTCATTTTGCGACATTTTTGACCTGTGGCATAATGTCACCACACAAAAGTTTTGAATTTTGGAGCATTTCAGACTTTCTAATTAGAGATGCTCAATGTGCACTTGTTCCTGCCTTGTATTTGGCAGGAAAGACCTTTAAAAACCGGGCTTTGCTGCCAGCACTTTGACCAAGGATGCTTGTGCTAGGAAAGGGGCATACTGCAAAGCGTTTAAAAGTTTTAGAAAACGGCCCCCTTGGGCTGGGGATGTAGCTCAGCGGCATAAGCGCCTGCCTTTCAAGCAGGCAGTTGCGAGTTTGATCCCCAGTACCGATAAAAAAAAAGAAAAAGACAAAAAAAAAAAAAAAAAAAAAAAAGAAAAGAAAACAGCCCCCTTTCCAGTGCTGGTGCTGTTAACACTTGCTCTCCACCTCCTTCTCAGTCAGGAAACCAGAACCTGAGGCCGGCTTGTTTGTTTGGTAAGCCCCGGTGCCCTTTTAGGATAAGGAAAGAAAATCCCTGAAAAGTGAAAGCAGTGGTTCAGAGAATTATACCAGAATGAGAAATTTGGAAAAGTTATAACAAGGAAGGGCACTTTGAACTCAGGAAATACGTATCTTAGTTACATGGAGGAATGTGACTGTTGCTGCGCAGTACGTTGGGTCTTCCTGGTTATAAAAATCTGTGAATTAGATAACACCCTTTAATTCAATCTTCCAGAAGCAAGAAATGAAAAGATAAACTCAGGGCAGATGATAACAGGCACAGAAGAAAAATGTAGGGCCTTCTGTCCACTGATAGCAGAAAAGGAATGAAAATTTCTTTGCTTGAAGACAAACTTCAGTAAAATACCAGACCAAATGACCTGGAGATCCTGAGTCATATGTAGCTACGGAGAAAAGATAAAACCTGACACGCTGGAATTTAAAACATGCACATATCAGGAGACACACCAGTGTTAAAGAACATAAAACCAACACAGAAGGATTAGAGCCGTAGCTCTAAGGGGACATACATGGCCATTTCACGTTATTTTAGGGGATTAGGTATCTTATGCAGTATCTTGGCGTTTTAAACTGTCTTTAACATGTAATAGAATTGTTATAAAATTAATGAATTCATAGCACTACATGAAATAAAACATAGGGAGCTGGGGATTTAGCTCAGCAGCATAAGTGCCTGCCTTGCAAGCAGGCAGTCGTGAGTTCGATCCCCGGTACCGGTAAAAACGAAAAAGACCAAAAAAAAAAGAAATAAAACATAAAAGATAAGAGCATGTCCAAATAAATATGAGAATTGTAACCCCACCCCAATGAAGGTTTGCTGTCCAGTAGTTACACTGACAGTAGTTATTACAGCAACAGAAATTACTACAAAAAACCTGGAATCAGAGCCCTAAAGTGCAAAGGCAAATATCTGTCAACCTAGTCCTAACATTTTATACTCACTTAAATATTACTCAGAATAATGAAGAACGGAACTATTTAAGACTTCACCACTTCTAGATGGTTTTTAAAGGATATAATTGATTAAGAAGAAAAGTTAACCTAGAAGGCAGGTATCTCAGGTGTGGTCCCTGGAAAGTGGGTTTTAGGACAGAGGTAGCAGTTTAAGAAGTTAAGCAGGTGGTGATCTTGGGCTCCACACCTGGTAGGGGGAAGAGCGGGATGGGCAGCAGGTGAGCTGCAGTGTAATCTCGCTGGAAACCTCGGCCTCCTCTTTGGGAAACTGTGAAGCAGGGATGGTGCAGCGTGGGTGACCTGACCTGCAGGGAGGGGCTTCCACTTCCTCGGACGGACTGTCCCAGGAAGGCTGGAGTAACTCTTCAGCTGGGGTAATTTCAGGGAAGCCGAAAGCAGAAGGCTGGCTGCTGCTGCGCGCTCACAGTGGAAGAAGAAGGCCTTCGTCGTGCGGCAGGTGCTGCATGCATACAGAAGGGTGGGGTGTGAAAAGAGCGGCAGTTAGGGCAGTGAGCTCTGTGGCCAATGTTGGTTAACTTTCGATAGAAAAAGATGAGTTCCGGTGAAGTTGGAGGGGAGTGGCGACATAAGACATGGATAAGGTAGGTAAGGTTCTGATTGCATTTCTGAATGGAGTAGTAGTTGCAAACTTCTGGACCAAAGAACACGGCCCTACCATGGCACAGTACAAAACATTTTAAAAATTAAGGATATGTCGATAAAATTCATGATATAGTTTATTCCCTAGGGTTGCTGACAAGTATATATCATACACACACAACTGTACATATATGTTTAGAGAAATATTTGTGAACAATTTTATACTTACATATACATCCATGTGTTTAAGTAGTATTCTTCCATGCAACCATGCCATGATTCAGTCAATTCCTGCAATTTGGGGGTTGGATTTTTCTCATGTTCTGTTAATTACTCTAGATCCTTTGATTTTTTGTGTATGCTTTTCTGTGTTTAGCAGGTTGTCAGCTTTGTTAACTTTAGGTCTGAAGGAAAAAATATTGATCCATTGTTGTATTTCATTTGTAAAATGAAAAATATTTGGTAACTGTATCGCCATTTTAATCCCGCTATTTTTGTTATTTTAGCCTTACGAAGGATGAATCCAAAAGGCCAAAGTATAAAGAACTTTTGGTGAGTGTGGAATTTTGGGAATTTTAAATACATCCTCACCTGAAATCCTCTTAGCATGCTGGGTCACTAAGCAAGTAAAAGGGCTCTTTGTCAAATAATTTAAATCTTATTGAATGTCCTAAAAACATTTTTAAATGAAGATATTTAGAAAAAGGAAAGATTTTTTTCCCTACTGATATACTAGCTAAATTCTCATGGAAAATTTTTGTCTTAGCATGTTATAAAATTGTGCCCAAAGAGTACAGCTTTGAAAGGAGCCATTTTCCATTGCTCTGTGTGTGTGTGTGTGTGTGTGTGTGTGTGTGTGTGTTTAAACTTACCCCTAGGAAAAATAATCAATAAAAATGTATTTATTGCATTTATTCTGCCTCTATTCAATGTGCACATGCACATTTATATCACAAAGGCAATTTACATTTCCTTGTAAGTTTTCATTTATTGCATTTTTGGGATGTAATGTCTTAACCAGTCTAATAAGTGTGGTGTTATTCAGGCAGAGAACCAAGTACTGTGTTAAAATAATGTGGGCGTATTTTAGTAAGAGGCACACTCATTTGTTCCATTTAGCTTCTAGCAAACCAAGGATGTTGGGTGAGACTTAGAGTTAACCCAGAAATGTTTGTAAAGGTATCTGTCCATGGACTTCACAGAAACTGTGGAGAAAAATATTGATAGCAATGGAGCGGTAGCAATGGAGTACAGATGGTTAGCAATGCAGGTAATGAGCCTCTTTTAGAATGAAGATCAGAAGGATTGAAGCTGAAAAGCTTTTTAAAGATCTTTGCTGCATTTGGAGGACATAGAAGATTGGGATTTATGCCTGTCCTAGGAGCATAGCAAGTGGTTTTCAGGTGCTACTTCTTGATTCTCCAATGGCGTGGTAGAAGCACAAGCTGTGCTCTGTGCTAAGGAACAGATGCTCGACTGTCTACAGCAAGTATTCCCCAGTACACAGACAGGTTCCCAGGTCTCGCCGTCAGGTGAGTGCCTCCCAACCCAGCTGCTGTGTCCTGTGGCTGTGCCCACTAACATGCGTGCAGAGAGCAGACACTGTAACTCTCCAGCAGTAGCCTGTAGCCATCTGTGGTGTAAGCCTGTCATACTGTGATAAATTTGAGAAAACTTCAGTTTGGGCTTCGATATACACTTTGATGTTTTTCTTTTGCTCTTTGAATTTTCTCACAGAAACATCCCTTTATTTTGATGTATGAAGAACGTACTGTTGAGGTCGCATGCTACGTTTGTAAAATCCTGGATCAGATGCCAGCTACTCCCAGCTCTCCCATGTATGTTGATTGATACCGCTGCTACATCAGACTCTAGGAAAAAAGGGCTGAGAGGAAGCAAGACGTAAAGAATTTTCATCCGTATCACAGTGTTTTTATGCTCGCCCAGACACCATGTGCAATAAGATTGGTGTTTGTTTCCATCATGTCTGTATACTCCTGTCACCTAGAACGTGCATCCTTGTAATACCTGATTGATCTCACAGTGTTAGTGCTGGTCAGAGACCACATCCTGCTCTTTCGTGATGAACATACTCATGACATGTGGAAGTCAGTACGATCAAGTTGTTGACTGTGATTAGACCACATTTTAAATTCATTTCTAGACTCGAAACCTGGAGACGCAGCTACTGGAATGGTGTTTTGTCAGACTTCCAGTTCCTGGAAGACGCAGTGACGGATGTGCTATGTCTGAACATAGAGACGCGGGCTTGAGTGAGAAGAGCTTACACAGCCAGCGAGACTTATTGCCTTCTGGAGCTGGGAGACAAAGGAGGAATTTACTTTCTTCACCAAGTGCAATAGATTTACTGATTTGATATTCTGTTGCTTTACAGTCACAGTCGATGTTTGGGGATTGAAGTGCTCAGCCAGATTTCCTGTTGAAATACCGTGTTAAATTAGAATGAATTTATCTTTACCAAAAACCATGTGGAGTTCAAAGAGGTGAACATTAAAATATCGAGACAGGACAGAATGTGTTCTTTTCTCCTTTACCAGTCCTACTCTTTGGAAGACTCAGGAGTCTGCCACTTGTCAGAGAAGGTGCTGATCCTCAGAATTTTTCGTTCTCAGAATTTGGTGTGCTGCCAACTTGACGTCTCACCTGCCACAAACCACCAGGACTGAAAGAAGAGAAAAGTACAGGAGGCCAAGTTTACAGATGTTTTTAATTCTAGTATCTTATCCAGAACAACTTGCAGCAGCTGTGTGTTTCCCCTCGCTCCACGCCTGGTACTTTAGCCACCCTAACTCACTCACAGGGAGAGGCAGCTGGTAGTCATGTGCCTTGATTGAGTAAAGGTTTCTTACAGGCAGCAGAAGACCAGATCTCAGTTGTTTGCTTCTTGCCATCACTGTCCAGGCCTTCAGCTTCTGAGTCTTTTTTTCCCTTTCCTGTGATCTGTTACCACTTTATGACTTTTACTTACTCCAATATTTTGCCATTTTTTTCTATATAAAAAACATTTATAATCACCAGGGATGTTCCTTTCCAAGGAGGTTTAGTGCCAGACCTTTCCTGTGTTTGTTTCAAAGGCTGAGAAAGGTGGACCCAGCCGAAGTGGTAGGTGATGAAGAGGCATTGTTTCTGAAGACACTATTAATTGAAAAGGATCAGAGACGGCAGTCTTTTAGATACTTCCATCCCTGCTACAATCTAGCAGCTCACTATCATTTCTTGAAATTGGAATTCTACTAGAAAGCAGACGACTAACACAAAAGCAAAACAACCCCCAAACAGTTACAAGAGACCATTTAAATCTGCTCTTTTTTGCTGTTTGCCTTTGCTTACAGTTAGCCAACCTATCATTAAATTGTGCTCCAGCCTCTGTGGCACTAAACGTTGGGCTTTGTAGAACAGTTAGCACCGTGAGTGGTTCAAGCACACTGGAATATAAAACAGCCGTGGTCTGAGATGAAGGTGATGCCATTACAGAACCACAATGTAGCAGGTATTGATTGCTGTGTCTTTGCCCAGAGTGACAGTCATAAATGCTATACAACAATAAAGGGGGAATGGTGCTGTTCAAAGTTATATCCCTGTAAATTTCAGAAGTAAAAAATGATTTCTTTGGTCCACTTGCCTAATTTCCCTGTTTTCTCTTCCACATCGTATACCTTAGATACCCCAGTGTTGTGAAAGAAGACATTGCCGTGTGTCTTTTTTCAACCATACCAAGCCATCATCCTCCATTGCTCCCAGGGACTCAAGAGGAATTTGTTTCTCTGCTGTTAACTTCCCGTCTGGCTAAGGATAGGGTCACTTTGTCATTATGCAAATGGAGATATAAGCAATTCTGACTGTCCAGGAGCTAATCTGACCGTTCTATTTGTGGATGACCACATAAAAAGGCAATTTTAGTGTATTAATCATAGATTATTATAAACTATAAACTTAAGGGCAAGGAGTTTATTACAATGTATCTTTATGAAAACAAAAGGGTGTATAGTGTTCACATACTGTGAAAATAGTGTAAGAACTGTACATTGTGAGCTCTGGTTATTTTTCTCTTGTACCATATAAAAATGTATAAAAATTATCAAAAAGCTAATGTGCAGGGATATTGCCTTATTTGTCTGTAAAAAGGAGCTCAGTAACATAACTGCTTCATGGAGCTTTGGAATATTTTATCCTGTATTCTTGTTTGAATTCCTCCTCTATTTAAGATATATACTTGGAATCGAAGTGTTTATGTAATAGTTCTATCCTTCTGCCTGCAGGTCAGTTGTAATAAATCTAGATGTGATGATGTCTTTGTAACTCGATTTTCTGAAGTCAGACACTTGGGGACCCACTAAATTACATTACAGTGCGTGTGCGTTTCATACTGGGAAAAGCTACCTACTTCCATTAAGGGTTAATGGCTTCTTTTTCTCCCTTCTTTGGTGGTTCTCTTAACCTTAGTACCACTGTGTATGCCCGGAAACACAGCTGTGCTTTCTGCTTGAGCACACATGATGCCGTCTCTTCACATGTACTTCTTTGCCCTCTCACTTGCCCAGCTTCTTAATGCTAAGGAAAAGGGTATCAGTGCAGCCTGCGGGATGGTAGGACGGGGGGAGAGCTGCCAAGAAGCCAGTCAGTCTTGTCTTGGCTCCATGAATGTTGCAGTTATGTACTGTCCTTCTGGTGCCACCAAGCAATTGTTAGGTATAGATGTTTAGCTAAATGTTGGGTTGTGTTTCCCTCATTGCTGTTTGAAAGAAAGGGATAGGTATTGGGATCCCCAACTGCCTGTATGGGGGGTACAGAGAAAGGATGAAATAAGAAACAGAGACAAATTTAGTAATGCATGATGGGGGCTGGCAGGTCAATGCGTCAGGACAGGCAGAGACCAAGATACTCCGCAACCAGCCGCTGTTTATTGGGTGTGTACGGTGCAGGAGGGCGAGCGGAAGATCAAGGTTGGTGGAAGATTCAGAGGTCAGTGGCTGGGCAGCCAACAGTTAATCCTGGATGGAGCCCCCTGTCGAGGGTGGAGGTGATTTTATGCTAAGAAAGATCTTGCTCGGGAATGTTCATTCTTAACGGGTGGAAGATGGCCCATCCCAAAAGAGTTAATGAGAAGTCTCCAAAGAGTCATGCCATTATCCCAAGCCTCCATTTATCCCTCAGGAAGTTTGCAGAATTAGGCATTGAGTATTTGTGGTCCCCAACAGGTAGGGGGTGAGTGGGGAATAGTACTGTAAGAGTTTATGGATAAGAGAGCAGTGTACCTGGACAAAGCCACGAGATCTGGAAACAAGTGGAGAAAAGCACTTTGCAGCCCCAGCGCTGAACTTCTGTTCTCACTGGTCGTTGATTAAATGCTAACCCATGGATCAGGCAGTAATTCAGCACCTTGACCTTTTCCTGTGCCTGTGTCTAACTGGATCTGAGATACCACTACAGAAACAAATGTAAGTATCAAACATTTTCTAGAGAAGGATGTGACTGGAGGAATTCTGGTCTCCAGCTAAGCTTCAGCTACTAAAGGAAAGGATGTGCCAGGCAGTATGTGCATCTTAGCCAGCAGCCACCTGCCTGTGAGACGGCATGGCATGAAAGATGCACTGTGCACTCTTCCCCAGGGGACCACCTTGCATTCATCTCATTTGCTACTGAGTGCAGCTCACCAAAATCAGGTAGTAGCACCCACTTAGATAGAAGAAGACACGATACAGAGAAACGAAGTATTAGCCTAGGCAACAATAGGGCAAAGAACTGAGACTCCGATCTAAGGTTGTGATACATAAGAATGTTCAGTGATTGTAAAGCACTGCCACACTGAAGAAGTGTTACGGAGTTGAGAAGAATGCATTATGAAGTACGGGGTACCGTATTGATAAACCTGGGGCTTCTTGGGTATGAAAGAGAAGTTCTGTGGCAGATATGGTAAATGACACAAAGGCAATGGTAGTGTTAACCTAGAATCAAGAGAAATTCTGCGCCTGAGTGTAAAGTGCAGTGCTTGAAAATTCAGCATAATGACTGCCTTCTCTTACTGTGCTGATATTTATGTAGCAATCCCACGAAAGGAACTTCAGTTTCTTCCTTTAGTATTAAAGTACTATTTTAACTTAATGATACTAACCATCTAGTGTAACTATAGAAAGAGAAAGGGTGGGTCTTAACCCTTGGGATGCTGGCTACCCACACCGCCCTGGAGGCTCAGCAGTGGTTTCATTTTTGTCTCCAGGCCAGGGCAGTATGTACTAGTCATCCCCTCTTCTTTGTTGTTTGGGATGCAAAGGATGAAATCTGAAAATTTGGCCTTGAATTTGTTTACCTTGTTAAGAGGTTGAGGGGAAGTCTAAGCAACGGTAGTGACTCTTCTTCAGATACACTATAGAAAACATGTTAATGTTAGACTGTGTGGTATAGGAAACTTTCAGTATGTGAAACACTTAGCTTGCTTATCTTTTAGGAACTTACTATAGACTGAAGTCATATTTCTTAGACCTACCCATCTTTCACAGAAATGAGTATCTTGAAATTTATCTAGAAATCATTGTGATAGCATTTCTGTAGATAATGTGTGAAAAGTATTTATATTTCTTAAATATAAATAGTTATGCTATTCAAAATTGTCAGTCTTGAGTAATATGTAGTGGATCAAATTTCCGACTGCATTTTAAATTTATATATACATATATAGACAGGTTGCCGAACTGTGTAGTGAGACTCCTAGGTTTCCATAGGACTTAGACACAGGTTTAATGTCAACATGAGTCTTTGAAATAGAGAAAGTATTGTTGCCTCACTCCAACTCACAAAGTATTAACATTCAATAATTAGGCGTGTCAGTTTTTGATATAGTGGCAAAATACTAAAAGAGGAAAAGTTTCATGTTCATGGTTTGCTAGCTTTTAGGCCTGTGCAAGGCAGAAACATCACAGTGGGAAAGTGTGGTTGAAGAAAACACAGAGAAAGGTAAAGAGCCCAAAGGACTGAGGACCAGATATGTGATCCCTGGGGTCACATCCCAGTGACCCAGTGCCTTCACTTCAAGCCCCACTTCCCGTTTCCATCACATACCAATAATGCCATCCAAGTGTGTTCTAGTCTGGGTTAATCTGCTTGATGATGTTAACACATGAGCATTAGGCAATTTGCCTGAGGCATTATATCATTGGTGTATACAGAACTCATTACTCTTAAGCATTTTTTTTTTTCATTTTTAAATGCTAGTATGAACAGTTTCAGTTTTGTTTTGAGATGTTCATTGAAGTGTACAGATACTCTGCTGGAGCTCAGTATGATGACACACGTCTGTATTCCCAGCCCTCTGGGAGACAGAATGAAAATTTGAGCCCAGTCTGTGCAATTTAGTGACTTTACAAGGCCCTGTCTCAAAAACAAACAACATGACAGCAAAACAAAAAGCACAAAACAAAACAACGCTGGGGATGGCTCAAAGGAGCTGGCTCAGAGATTCAGTTCCCAGAACTGCAAAATAAATACTAATAATGCAATTGATTTTCCTCATAGAAATCTTCTATATTGCAGCCTTGCTTAATTACTAGTTCTAATATGTTTAAATTCTTTCAGATTCTCTGTGTACAAGAGCATGTTACCTGCAAATAGAGATTGTTTTATTTCTCCCCCATCTTCTTTACTGCTTTTTTTTTACTATGCAAATATTTTCTAATGCAGCATTTAACTACTTTTTACTACAGACATTCCTCGTTTAACAACAGTTTCATTCTTGTGACTAAATGAATTAGGTGCTAAGTGAGGAATTATAGTGTGTACATTATAATATTCAGAACAAAGAAAGGAAACTCCAATTTGATAACTTTGCTTTTATTTGCATAAGTGTTACATGTAGTATTGTAATTATAACAGCATAAAATATAGAACTATATAGTAAAATTACAGTACTACATAGACAATGTGTGCTATACAATTGAGTCCGTAAACAAGGTGTACAGAACTGTGGCCTCTCCTGCAAAAAAAAAAAAAAAAAAAAAAAAAAAGTGGGTCAGAAGTCTGAACATCATGCCTTGGTCATTAAACAGATGGGTCATTAAGTAATATCTGTATATAATTTTAGATTTGTGTGTGTGTGATATTTGTTATATATATCTTCAAGTAAGTATACTACCTTAATTTCAGAGATGTATAAAAAATGTTACTTTGATATATTTATTTCCTTTTCCCTGTTTGATGATCTCACACATGCACACACACCCATGTGTTTGATTTCAGGGTACATTCTGAGAAATGTGCCATACAGTTGACGACTGATGGTTCTCCTCTTATGTTCCAATTATTATAATTTGCCTGTTTACTTTTTAGTGACTGGATTATTTTAGTCTATTCTCCTTAGCATTAAATCTGTGATACTGTTCAAAGTTGCAACTTGGGCCATTTCTCAGACATTTTGGTCATAGTAGAAGTGGTAGCATTATTGTTCAAACTGGAACTGTAAAGCTGGTGTTTTACAAAATTAATGAAGTCATGGACAGAGGAATCAAAAGGAGTGCTTATGGGAAGTGTAAGGGGAGAGTAAGCTCCCGATAGAAGTCCTGAAAAGGGTCATCGTATGGGCTGTTTGCTCAGGGTCTTTTACATCTAGGTGACCAGTTTCCCAGAACAGGTCAAGGTGAGCTTAGCCTGGGGAATTTAGGTATGGGCTCCGCGTGTCCTACCGTGACCTGTAGAGAAACACGGCATGCGGTGGCCGTGCCCTGACCAAGCATTGTTTGGTCAGCTAGAAATCTTACTATGTAGTTAGGACAAAGTAAAGGGAAGAAGAGGTGAGCTATGTGGGACACTCCCTGTGTTCATTTCTACCTTCTTGAGTTTAATGATCTTTAACCCTGTGTACCCGTTGTTTTATTCCTAAGGCTGAGCAGCCCAACTCCACCATAGGGCCTGTCCCTTACTAGCTGTTTTAGAAGCTAAATAGGTAAGCTCCCTCTCACACAGGACCCTCTTTCCATCACTACCTCTAACCATTAAACACTACTAACTACCATCTGACTGTTTTTCGCAGTGAAGGCACAGCATGTAAAGTCCATATTTGGTACTTAATCCGATTCCAGGAGGGACCCCTCAGCTGTCTTATTTACTGATTTGTCCCTTAGGCTTCCTGTCTTAGAGCTGTATCTTCCTTTATGAATGTATCTCATTTGCCTTTTGCTGCAGCCTTCACTATTCTCGAGATTGCCCTGAGCCCTCTTGATCTTCACCATGCTTTTTGCAAATGAAGTGAGATCCTTGGGGAAGAAATAAGAAACTTTGTTTTTGCAGCCTGCTTTCCTT